CCTTGAGTATTATATTACACATCTCTTTGTTTCTTTATTTCTCCTGTGACTCACATACTAGAGTGAGAACAAGGACTTTTTTTTAAGGCTGTGCTCCCAGTTCCTTTTTTTTTTTAATAACTTTTTTTAAAATTTTTATTTATTTATGATAGTCACAGAGAGAGAGAGAGAGAGAGAGAGAGAGAGAGGCAGAGAGAGAAGCAGGCTCCATGCACCGGGAGCCCGACGTGGGATTCGATCCCAGGTCTCCCAGATCGTGCCCTGGGCCAAAGGCAGGCGCCAAACCGCTGCGCCACCCAGGGATCCCTGTGCTCCCAGTTCCAAGAATAATCCCTGACACATAATTCGTGATCAGTGAATAATTATTGAATAACAAATCATCTTTCCTTTGTTCTCCTGTATCTTCTAAATGTCCTGGACATCACTTTTGTAATAAGAAATCAAAATAGTGAATTATGCCAGAAGTAATGGAATCCAAAAGTGACCAGTCTGGATCGCATAGGATGAGTTCTGAAGTTGCTTCCTCCTGTCTTGGAATATCCCCCTCCCCAATTTTCAACTGCTATGGTTATTACCCTGAATGCTTTTGTCTGATTCTTCTATTTAATGAGACAGCATGCTGCTGAGTTTTTAGCTGCCCTGCATAGCACTGACTGGGATTTGCTCTCCGGAAAAAAAATCCATTAAAAAAATGCAAAACTCACACATGAGATTTCATCTTCTGAGTGCTGACTCCTGTCTACTATTGATCTACTTTTGATTCCTCTCTAGTACCTTCAAATCATTGGTTTTAGTTTTTATTTTTCTATAATTCCTAGTTGTTGTTTGCAGAAGGTTGTCTTATGGGATGTAGAAGCTCAGATTTCCATGTTCTAGAAAGAACTCTACAAGAGTATGGAGTACTCTACAGGGCTAGAGGTGACTAAGCATAGCAAGACCGGTCAAGATGCTCAAGTAGAATGCCCAGGAACAGGTGATGAGGGTGCACAGCAACAGCAGATAGATGAAAAGAAAAGCTCCTGTGTGAGAGTTCCAGATTTCTTCAGGAAAATGGCTAGCAATTGAGTCTGGACAAAAATGTGAAGTAGTAACTGATTAGAGATATGGGCTGTGGTGAGAGTTGATGTGATGACCTTGAGTGGTGTTTTCCCAGGAGAGAGTAGGAAGCATAAAAAGGGACGTGGACCAGGAGTGGACACCAATGGTGATAGGGCAGCAGGGTGGCTAAGAAGAGCCAAAGAGCGAATCAGGAACATGGCAGTGGTCATGCTGAGAGCAGAGTCACAAAAGGAGTGTGGTTGGTTTATAACATCAAGTGCCTTAGATGCTGAAGTCCAAGAAGTCGCATTCTGATTTGGCAGTCAGAAAGTCATGCTGATCTTGGTGGGAGCAGTTTTAGTGGAGGCTGGAGAAGCCAGATCAGACAGAGTTAAAAAGTGAATGGAACGTGAGGAGGTGCCGATTGTTCTGTATCTATAGATGTACCTCACTTGTCTTCCCCTGTTCTTTTCCTCACACATAAATTTCATGAAATCATGCATACATAATTTCTGAAAAGTGTAGTTTCATTAAGCCACTTTTTGCTCCCATATTTATATGAATATCCTTGAAAAAAAGTGCCATCAAAAGCATTTTGCTTTCAAAAGCATTTAGAAGCAAATAATTGGCAAGTAGATTATAATGGCAAGCACTGTTAATAGTGTCTATGAATAACTTCCCTCAAAAGATTTTACACTTTTCATACTTCCAGTCTTTGGGAATCCAAAGCTGCCAATTACTAACTAGATCTTCCTGAGTCTCAATTCCAGGCAGGAATGCTAATAACAATGCAGGCTGAGCAGCTAAGCATTAATATGATGCTCACTCTTTGCCAGACAGTGTTCAAAATTCTTCACGTAAAAGAAATAAGTTAATTCTTCTGACAATTTAACAAGGTAGTATTACTATCTCCACTGAAGATGACAAAACTGAGGGACAGACAGGTGAAACCATTTGCCCAAGTTCACAGAGCTAATAAGTGGCAGAGTCAGGATTTGAACACATGAGCAGGGGCTCATTAAGTGGAAACTGATACTGTCATTACCACAATTCATTCATTCACTCAACAAATATTTATTGAGTACAGATTCAAAGACAGGCATTGTACAAGGACCTGGGTATTTGGTGAAGAATAAAAATCTGGATTTTTCTGTAAAAGATTCTAACCTTACCAGACAGATTGATGGATGAACAAAGAGATAACTATGTAATTGCAACTTGCTCTAAGTGCTATGAAGAAAAGAAACAAGAATAATGTGAGATTGCTTAACCGTGGGTGGAAGGAATAAGGAAGGCCTTACTCTAAGAAAAGATGTTAAAACTGGCACCTGGCTGACAAAAGGGGTCTGGCCACAGGGAACTTTGGGGAGGGTGTACCAGGCAGAAGGATCTGCACTGTGAAGGCTCCAAGCACGTAAGACCCAGGGGTCACTTTGGCAAGGGAAAGTTGAGATAAGCAAAGGTTGGAGATGGGGCAGGTGTGGTCATATCATGCAAGATTTTATAGGTCATAGGAGTTTGGATTTTGCTCAAAATATAATGCCAAGTCCTCCAAAGGTTTGAGGCAGGGAATTAGCATGATTCAGGTTCTATTTTATTTATTTTTTATTTATTTCATTTATTTTTTAAGATTTTATTTATTTATTCATGAGAGACACAGAGAGAGTGAGAGAGGCAGAGACACAGGCAGAGGGAGAAGCAGGCTCCATGTAGGGAGCCCGACGTGGGACTTGATCCCGGGTCTCCAGGATCAAACCCTGGGCCAAAGGTGGTGCAAAACCGCCAAGCCACCCAGGCTGCCTTGTTCTTTTTTTTTTTTTTTAATCACTCTTGCTTTGATGCTGAGAATGTATCAGGGACAGGGCAGGAGTTGGAAGGATGCTGTTGTAATAGCTCAAGAGAGAGGTGATGCCACCTTGGACCGGGGTGGTGGCTGGATAGATAGGGAGCTCGAGTCAGGGATCAAGAGGCCCTCAGCTGAGGCTGAAGCTGAAGTTGCACCAGTGGGAAGCTGGTAGAAGCTTGCAACCGACCGAAGCAGTCACAGAGATGGCTGGAGTCAGAGGCAAGGCCCAAGTGCTGCATACAAGAAGTGTCTAAGACAGCTTCCCTCTGCTTTTAAAGACAGTTTGTATCTAGAAACTCTCTAGCAACCTTACTTTAAATTCCACTGACTTCCCCTTGCTAGAGGCCAGGAACGGGAGCACCCTACAATGGGGCTCAGATCGCCATAATGGACTTAGACCAATCTTGGCTCAAGCCCTGCTCGGGGCACATTGTCCCTGAACAAAATCAGGGTTCTGTGGAGGCAGAGGATGACTACTGTCTAGACAGCCAACACCAAGAATTTTGATACAAAAGGAGCAAGTTTCAAAATATCTGAGAAAGTATGTCCGTTAGACTTACTGGCTGTAGAAGTTGGAATTCAAAGGAGAGGTTCGAACTCAATACATTTTTTTTCAAGCTTAGCATCCTGTTTTAAATGTGCTCAGTTGCTGAGGCCACCTCTGATCTTGGAAATGGTTGAGAATATAAATGGGAATCTAAATGGAGCCTGAGGAACCATGCAGGCTTTAGTGAGTATATCAGGATTCAGTGTGACAACGTGGAGACGTGATTAGCCTCACAGCCGGCCTATCTGAGAACAGCTGAGAACGAAGGAGGCCGAGAACACATGGCGCAGCAGTTGGGAAGCATCAGTTGCATGAGCCCAGCTGCCTGGGGACTTCCAAATGGAGAGAGTTGAATTGTAAAGTCTCGAATCTTATTAAGGGACCAGGGTGTCCATGGGGACGTGAAAGGAGTGAGACGAGGATTCAGATTTTGAACAAAAGGAAGTACAAGAACATTCCTCCATCATAGGCAGTGATGCTCTGGGAAGATAGCAAGCTCTTGGTAGTGTAGAGAGAGCCAAGCACAACCAGGGTTTGATAGTGGGCAGAGCTGGCTCAGGAGTTGGCTTAAAACCTGACTCCGACCTGGAGACATTTCCTTACCTTCTTCGAATCCCAATTCCTTTATTTCTAAAACCCTGCCTACTCTGGAGGATCAAGATGAGGAAATAAGATAATATAAGGAAAGAGACCAGTGGTGTCTCTCAACGAGGCAAGTGTCTGTCTAGAAGTTAAAATAAGAGCCCCTGGCTGACTCAGTTGGTGGAGCATGTGACTCTTGATCTTGGGGTTGTGAATTCAATCCCCATGTTGGGTAGAGAGATTACTTAAAAATAAAATCTTAAGAAAAAAAAAGAGTGAAAAAAAAAGAGTGGTAATAATGCAATAACCAAAACTTGAGGGGTGGGGAGAGGGAGGGAAATTAAATGTTCAACAGTAGATCGATCAACCAAACCACAGAGCAACTGCATAACAATGTTATGTATCATTTATAATTATATTTTAAAGAATTAAATATCAGTGGGATAATTAATTATTGAGGTAACATTTACCATATAAAGTTATGTGAACAGAGCAGTATATAAAGTACAAATAAATATCATTTTTAAAAAGAAAGTGTATCAAAATGTTAACAGTAGTTGTTTGGACTGGGAAATTATAGATTTGGTTTTGTTTTTACCAAAAAAAGCACACACTTTTTTTTTTTTTTGCCATTTTCTGAGTTTTCTGTGAGAATGAATTGCTTTTACAGAACATGGGAATTAGAGATAATAAGTGGTGGATGATTTAATGTCACTGTGGCTGTTACCCTTATTAGCACATCCTTCTTGTTTCTGTTCCCCCAAATCCACGTCTGGCTTAGCTCCTGGGAAAATGGCAACAGTCCAGTGGAACCCAAAAGTGTGTACCTAGAGGAATTAAAAGGATTTTTATTCATTTAATTTGGGTGGTTTTGACTGGGTGTGCCTCATCCTAACAGGAAGTGTGTGTCACCAGGAAAGAATTTAATTCTTTGCAGCAGAAAGATGATTAGTGAAGAGTGAAAACACCCATCCATGTTTCTCACAGACTCTGCTTGATTGTATCAGACCAGCTCTCCTGCATAGCTGGCACCACTCAGAGAGGAGCTGCCTCCAGTCGGGATCCTCCCTGAGGACAGCTTCGTTTAGCCCCTGGACTCCAAACCTGGATTTGTCCCTTGGAAGAGTCACCATCCATCCCTGAGCTTCATTTCTCAACTGTAAAACCTTTTATATCTGCTGGACCTCTTCCCCTAAAAAGTGAGTCCCTTTGGGCAAGGACTATGTATCATTTCTTTCTGTATCCATAGGGCCTAGCCCAGCACCTGGGCTCAATTAATGTCTGTTGATTAAGTGGCCAAGTTGCATTGAGTGATTTTTAAATTATCTCATCCAATGTTGGCAATGAAATTTGTGAATACAGTCCTCCAGAGTATATTTATAGTTTTATTTTTTGGGGGGGAAAAAGATCTGGTTTTTTAAAGATTTGTTATTAGAGATTGAGCGTGAGTGGGAGGGTACAGTGGGAGAGGGAGAGAGAATTTCAAGCAGACTCCACTGAGCACAGAGCCCAAGTTGGGCTGGGTCTCATGACTCGGAGATCATGACCTGAGCTGAAACCAAGAGTCCAATACTTGACTGACTGCATCACCCAGGTGCCCCCCCAAAAAATCTAAAACAAATATGGGGAAATGTTAGGGTAAATCTGGATAGTAGCACATGAATGGACCCACATCGTATCCATATTAATCTCTGATTCATGGATTCCTCATCTCCAAACTAATATCTACCTCATTGTTTTCTGCCTTGAATGACAAAGGTTTTATAAAATTCTTAGCACATGTGTGTACTCATTAAATGCTTGTTTCTTTTAGCAAAGGGAGTGAAAGTTCTCTTTGGTTGGTCTTTTAATTCTGCTAACATTGGACTTTGTGATTTGAGCGACATGACCACAGTCATCCTGGCTATATCCAGTAGTGACACAGACTTTTCAGTGGAGAATAAATTGGCTCCTGTGAGGACAGACCACAAGGTCGATCTCAGCCCATATCCCATACAGTATTGGAGGTCTACTCCGGTAATGTATACAAGTATAATTAACTGCCCATTCATTTACCAGATGCCTTCCATATGCTAGGCGTTGTACGGGCATTGGAAGGTCAGGGATGACAAGACAGAAACTGTGACCACAAAGAACGCACTGTTCAGGACAAGAGACAGAGGCGGAAACAAATTCACGTAATATAATGCAGTGAATCCTAGATTAATAGCCCAGGGGAGGAAGTGAAACCTCTACCTACACTTAATTTCACTTAGTAATAAGAGCCATAGCTCTCCTAGGCCTCTGAAGTTTAGAAAACATTAAGAAGAGCCTGTCTGCTTCAAATTAAAGGCATCACCTTCATAAAGAATAATCTCATTTATGTAGGAAATAAAGCTAAATGTGTGCATGATACATACAGAAACAAAAATAAACGCAAAGTTCAGGAAGGGAACACACCATTGTCCAAGTGTTTACTTGGAGGGAGAAGGTGACAGGGTGGTGAGAAGGCTGGATTCTTGAGAACCGTATCTTTGTGTCGTCTGAATGTTTCCACATTGAGGATGTAGTCATATATTGCTTATGCTATAATTGCATTATTATGTATGCACAGAAAATGGAAGGTAAAGGAGACAAATGTCCACATGGTTTGCCTCTTCCTCAGCTTCAAGTCCTTGTTCTAATGTTTCTTTCTAAATATCCTAGTTTCAGGGTGCCTGGGTGGCTCAGTCAGTTAAGCATCGGACTCTTGATTTCAGCTCAGGTCATGATCTCAGGTTCATGAGATGGAGCCCTGAGTCGGGCTCCATGCTCAGTGGGGAGTCTGCTTCAGATTCTCTCTCTCCTTCTGCCTCTCCATCCCAACTCTCTCTCTCTCAAATAAACAAACAAATAAATAAAATATCCTACTTTCATAAGTATTTCATAAATATCCTTACCCCCAGTAAAATCCTCATCCCCTTCCCCAGTTTATTTGTGTTCCTTGTGCTTATTATAGTCTGACCTTCAAGATATTTCACTTCTTTTTAAAATTGGTTGACATCGCCTTCTGCCCACCCCCCCTCCCCGCCCGCTAGAATGTGAGCTCTGGGAGAGGCCAGATGTGTGGGTGTCATTTCCTCCACTCTGAACCCAGTGCCTCACATACTGGGCAGGTGCGCCCTGCAGGCCAGCTGCCTGCACCTATGCAGCAGTGTGTTCACAGCAATAATTTCTGAATGGAAGTGTTATGGATCTTTCATTTCTTCTTTCTGCTACTGGATATCTGAATTTTCGTAATAAGCTTATATTAATTTATTACCTAAGGAAACAATAAAGCTCTTTTAATTAAAAAAAAAATACATACGTATATTACCTGGGAGGCAAGAAAAGGAGCCTCTAGTAGAAGCCACACTGGAGCAGAAAGGGCTGGTGGCAGTCAGGCCAAGGAGCATGGGAGCGACATCATGAGACATCTGGAGGGGAGGCCAAAGTCCCTCCCTTGTGACTCCTCAGCTATCTTGTTCTTTCCAGACACCAGGATAAATGCCCGGTCTTGGGGGTCACTGGCTCACAAAGGATCTTCTGCTCTGTAGCTTCCCATGCCCTGAAAGGCAGGGCCCAGAAATTTATCCTTGTCCTTCTATCCAGAGAATGTTTTTATCTAGTTGCTACTTAGATTTCAGTAATTCTTTGCCGAAGCAACTTGGTTTCTTGTTTTCCTTGGGAACCAGACTCTTTCTAAGTCGAAGCCATAAAGAGGATGAAATCCATTACCTGATACATTTCAATTCAGCTATTCAAACCTTGCCACAGATGGAGGCCCTGCGTGCCACGCTTTCATTGTTGGCGATGGCATCTAAACTGGACACTTTGAATAAGGCACATGTGAAGGTGAAAGCTGAGGGTTTTTTTTTCATTCTTTATTCTTTCTCTATTTTTTTCTCTGTTCTATTTCCAATCTAGCACTGTTGTCTGAACGATTGTAGAGATAGCTGGATCCTCATCTCTAGATGCCATGCGAAGAGCAGTGGGGGATGGTAGTTATGTTCGTCCCAAAGTTAAGGGATTTGGATTCTGTGAATTTCTCTGCCACTAACTTGTTATGTGATCTTAGTTAAAATCATATTACCTCTCTGTGCCTCAGTTTCTTCATCTGTAACATAAGCACTTTTAAAGGCTTTCTGAAGTCCCTGCCAAAGCCACTTTTGTTAAACCAAGGACCAACAGTGACACCTTGTGGCACCCCTTCAGCTTTGGTTTTTCTAGACCGCAGCCTGACGCAATCATCCGCAGGAAGCCAAGGCCCCCCTGTCCCTGGCCACTCACCCACGTGGAAGGCCTGTGCTGCTGTAGTGAAGTTTAAGGCTTGATGTGAATGGGAGGGTTTCAGCCCAATGTGTCCTGTGGATTGGCAAGGACTTGGGACAGTGGACAGGGTAGGACTGGCGATTTGATGGTTTTACAGGGCTCCTCGGACTTTGTGAAATAATTAAACTCCAAATTGCTCTGTGCCTTCATTTTTCCATTCATACAATGAAGTTTCCATACGACAAAGTTGCCACTCAAACTGCTTTCAAACTCATGGTTAGTTTATTCATTCATTTACTTTTGCATTCATCAAACATTTAATGAATATCTTCCGCCAACTTCCGAGCACCTCCCTATGTTAATGATGCAAGTTTGGGAAGACAGTCCAAAGCCTTCAAGCACACTGTTTTTGTCTAATGGAAAAGAGAGACAGAAAAACTGTCCATTGCTGTGTAGTAAGATGCGTCAGAAGATGTACACACAGAGGGAGCTCAAGCCAGACATCTACATGGGCCTGGAAAGAATGTTTGATAGATGGCAGGTCACTTACATCTAAACTGTACAAAATGGAAAGAAATTTGCCAGAGAGGCACTCCAGGAGTGCAACAGGGTGAATATGGACACAAACACATCCTCTCCATGCCCTATCTGAAGATCGAACCCCAAAACTTTCTTGACCAACCCAAGAGGTTCTCCTTCTAAATATTGCTCGGCTGACTATTTTAGCCAAGCTTTCCAAAGCGCAAACTTCTTGCTCTGTCCTCATCCCCACTTCCTATTCAACTTTGCCCAAACTGAGCAGCCACCTCTCAGTGACTAACCGGTGTCACCATGCACCCTAGCCAAAGGCTACTCTTTAGTCATTGCTGGCTTAACTTTCACTCCCAGCAGCCACAAGGCCTGTGAGGCGCTGGAGTTCACTTCATGCTGGAGTTCACTCTCTGCTCCTTCCCTTCTCCCTCTCCCTTGTCAGCTCCTCCTAGTCCACCCATCATGAATTATCAATATTCCTTGGTGCTCAGTCCTGAACCTTTTCTTTTTTTTCTACCTAGGGAATCTCATATCCACCTAGAATCCAGACTTCTCGACGATTAGGGTCTTAGGTTCTAGTACCTGAAGATGGGTGTCTTTCTTTCTTTCTTTCTTTCTTTCTTTCTTTCTTTCTTTCTTTCTTTCTTTCTTTCTTCTTTCTCTTTTTAAAAGATTTTATTTATTTATTCATGAGAGACACAGAGAGAGAGAGGCAGAGGGAGAAGCAGGCCTCATGCAGGAAGCCTGATATAGGACTAGATCCTGGGACTCCAGGATCATGCCCTGGGTCAAAGGCAGGCACCAAACCGCTGAGCCATCCAGGGATCCCGATGGGTGGCTTTCCCTGGCATTTTTCTTCCTTTTGTCTGCCTCCTGCTAGACTGAAAATCTGCCATGTAGGTAGATCCATCTTTACTTTGTTCAAACATACTTGTACAATGGTTAGTACAGTGCCTAGGGGGTAACTCAAGAAGTATTTGTTGACTGAATGAAACATATGTAAACACATGATTTCAAAGGACAGAATAAACCTGTAGTTTTTATTTTATTTATTTATTTATTTATTTATTTAATTTATTTAATTTTATTTTATTTTATTTTATTTATTTTAATTTTATTTTATTTCTTCAGTCAAGATTCAGGTAAAGTTCAGTCCTTCAGTTCAAGTTCAGCCAGGCAAGCCTCACAGAATGTCCTGTGCTCTGTTTCAGGATCTGGTCTAATTTTGAATTGTTGTGCAGCCTGGGTGGCTCAGCGGTTTAGCGCCGCCTGCAGCCCGGGGCCTGATCCTGGAGACCCGGAATCGAGTCCCACATCGGGCTCCCTGCCTGGAGTCTGCTTCTCCCTCTGCCTGTGTCTCTGCCTCTCTCTCTCTTGAATAAATAAATAAAATCTTTAAAAAATAATAATTTTGAATTGTTTCTTGATGCAAAGTATCACTCTTTTCTAGGAACAGATACGCCCCCACCACACTATTTCCCCATCTATTCTCAAACGGGAGATTTTCTCATTAAATCACACTGATGATCTTGATTAGAATATTGTATTTTCCTTGATCTTTCTAAGTTAACAAGCTTCTTTATCTGTGACCCTCAGGGCAGTGGACATTCTTTCAGGAAATACTGTAGCTATGGCAGGCCCTGCTCCAGCTTGGTGGATATTTGCATTCGGGATTTTTTTTTTTTTTTTTTTACCAGCATATACAATTCCTAAGTGACAGGGGCAGGAGCTAGAGGCAGAGCGGTCCAGAACTATGGGAAAGAAAAAGCCATTCCTGGCCTGGCTCCTCAGCACACTGGCAGAGGGAAGCTGTTTCTGAGCTCGGTTTAGAGAAATGCAGTAAACCCTCCTTGAGATGAAAAGGGCTGACACCCTTTTCAGCTTGAGGCCTCTGAGACACAGAGTGGTTCACAGCCACTGAGAGGAACTTAGCATCAGAACATCCTCGTATCTTTTTTTGTTGAAAAAGCCTTCAGGTAGCAGGAGCTTTGGTCCTGGAAAGTTGTTATTAAAATATATCTCCAGGGGCTGGCTCCTGGATGTCTCAGCTGGTTAAGCACCTGACTTTTGATTTCGGCTCCGGTTGTGATCTCAGGGTTGTGAGTTCAAGCCCCATGTCGGGCTCCATGCTGTGCACGCAGTCTGCTTAAGATTTTCTCTCTCTCGGGACACCTGGGTGGCTCAGTGGTTGGGCATCTGCCTTCGGCTCAGGGTGTGATCCCGGTTCTGGGATCGAGTCCCACATCGGGCTCCCTGCATGGAGCCTGCTTCTCCCTCTGCCTGTGTCTCTGTCTCTCTCTGTATGTCTCTCATGAAAAAATAAATAAAATCTTAAAAAAAAAAAAGGATTCTCTCTCTCCCTCTGCACCCCCAACTAATGCTCTTTCTCTCTCTCTAAAAATACATAAATAAACCTTTAAAACATAAATAAATAAATAAACCTCCAGTCACTTAATTCAAGAAGCTTTGGGAATGTTAATGAATAGGGCAAAATAGTAATGGCCAAGGAACATTCACCTCTCTTACATCTCCATGGGATGACAGTGACCAAGTTAAATATGCTACTTTCTGAGATCAAGCCCTAACTTCACCTATGATAAACTGTAAGACTCTTAGACAAATTACCTAATGTCTCTGAGCCTTTATTTCCTTGTCTTTAGAATGGATGAAATAATGTCCCCACACAGTCACTACAAGAAGTAAATGATACCCGTTGAGCGCAGAGTACAATGTCCAGGACATAAGAGGAGCTCAGTACACATACCAGAGCAGAGGAAAATGCCCTAGAGATATCGATATTTTCCCAGGAGAATTTTCTTCTTGACTTGCTCAACCAAACATAACGGATGAGTAATCCAGCAGCCTGGATTATTAGGTGGGACTCCCAGCCTTGGATTATGGTTGTGGTTTCTAAAGCTGCCTCCCTAGTCCTCTGCTATCTGTTCCCCTTCACATCCCTGCATCTAATAGAGTGGCTGGCATGTGACAGGTGCACAAAATATTTGCTGACCTTAATTCAACTAGACCTACACTGTCCAATAATGTAGTTACTAGTCATGTGTGACTATCTAGTACTTGAAATGTGGCTACTCTGAGTTGATTGTGCTGTAAGTGTACAATACACACCAGATTTCTGTAGATTTAGTACCAAAAAAGTAAAATATTTCATTAATAATTTTTGTATTGCTTATGTAAGATGATAATATATTGTGTATACTGAATTAAATAAAGTATTTTATTAAAGTTAATTTCTCCTGTTTATTTTACTTTTTAAAATGTGCTTGCTAGAAACTTCTAAATTACATGTATAGCTTATATGTTGGATTTCTACTAGACAGAGCTGAGCTAGACTGTAGACCCCTCACTGGCCAAGAGATCATTGGATACATGCCAGACTTCCCTCTCTGTAAAATATATACAAGCTCTCTGAGGCACTTTCCAGCTCCAGCATTCTATGATTTTGTCAACTTTAGGCTACAGTTTCTTTTTTAAAAAAGATTTTATTTATTTATTTATTTATTTATTTATTTATTTATTTATTTATTTATAAGAGAGAGTGAGACAGAGAGAGAGCACAAGTGGGCAGAGGGGCGGAGGGAGAAGCAGACTCTCCACTGAGCAGGGAGTCTGACGTGGAGTTCAGTCCCAGGACCCTGGGATCATGACCTGAGCCAAAGGCAGATGCTTAACTGACTGAGCCACCCAGGCTACAGTTTCTGTAATATGAATACTTATTAAATTGCTACTATGGGTTAGAGATTTACACACATTGTCATTTAATCCTTATTAAATGTGACAGGAGAATGACACTCCTTATTTTATAAAGAAAGAAGAGAAGGCCTGCACAAGTTAAGAGACTTGGCTAAGGCCAGCTGGCTGGAACTAGACTAGAACCTTCTCCCTCTTTTCTGGTTCTCTGTAGGGATTTCCAACAGAAAACATGACTGGGGAGTTAAATGCAGGTGCTTGGGTTCCGTTGTTCCCAAAGACATATTTCCTTATTTGGAAGAATCTTATATCATCAGAATCACTCTAAAAATGTCTATAAGAGGCTCCTGGAAGACCCTAGAGGACAGCCGGTGCCTGTCATATTTGGTATATCATTGACACCCAGAAGTAAAGGGCTGGGAGGTTTCTGGGGAGAGAAGATTCAAGAGCTGCTGGAGGTTAATTGTTCACCAGCTTCAGAAGATCCTGCTGGGAGGGGAGCTGGGAGGGGAGCTGGGGGAGTGAAACATTGACCAGTTCTGATTGAGATGCAGGAATGCGTTAGGGAGGCATGGAAAGGTCAGGGGGAGCAGTCTGGCACCTGAGACAGCTCCCATGGGCAAAATTCCTCTCCCAGAGACCGGACAGGAAAAGGGATTGTGCTCAGAAGGGGAGAAAGGGGCCTCTGGCTTCAATGTGTACTTACTTTGCCAGCTCCCACAGCCATTTCAGGGGCCGGCTGGACTTAAAAAACGCCAGGTCATGTTTGAGTGTTTCGACTCCCCAAATTCGACTAACTTTTGGAAAGCTAGGACCAAGTAGGGAGGGCTAGAAAAACAAAGATCAATAAATAAGATAGACTTGCCTTGAAGCCAAACTGGAAAATGCAATCACCGGGCCTGAAGGCTCCAGGACTCGGTTCCAGTGTTGGCTCCATCTTCCAGGTAATCCTGAGCAGTTGAGTTACCGTCTGAGTCTCAGTTTACTCATTTGGAGAAGAAAAGTAATCAAACTGACTTCCAAGCATTGTCACTGTAGTCACATGATAATGAGAGAGTTCCTGCCTCTATGTAGTTCAATGGATGTTGAATGGAAGAGTAGGAAAGACAATACTGTGGTTTAAAATGGTCCAAAGTCTCCCCACAATCCCTAGGGGAAGGCGTAAGCTCCCTTCCCTCTGTGATCTGGCCCCAGCTCATCTCCCAGCTTCCCTCCTGCCCATGTACCCTCTGCATCCAACTCCCCCTCCAAGTCGCCCATAACCCGATCCTTAGCAGCTTCTGATCTGTGACACTTTGGGAACCAACAACCTGGCTGCTGAAGCTCAGTGTTTCATTCCTTGGCATTTTCTGTGGCCTTTAAATCACCCAAGGAAACTCATCCCTCAAAGACCCCCTCCCTTAGCACAACCCACCAAGGTGCCCCTGTCGTTTTCCTGGAGTTAGCTCTTAGCTCAGTAGGGCTGCGCTCGATCACCATGGACATCATGTGACAAAGAACATGTTGCATTTCTCTTGATTTTTCTTAAAACATAAAACAAAAGTTTGCTGGCCAGCTGCCCCGTTTCTGTTATGTAGACCAAGATTAAATTTCTCCTGGATTCATTTGCAGAGCCCCTGGATGCTGGGCTGAAAAGTGATATACATTTTCTCTTGGCAGGGAATCACCCACTTGGGAATTGCCTTGAAAAATCACTGTTTAACTGAAGCGTGTGGGCGTGTGTGTACACACGCGTATAGACGTTAGTGCCCTGGTCAGGTCGATAAGCTTCTTCTCATTGGCTGATAAGCTTCAGATGTTGAAAATCAAGAGCTAGAAAAAGGGGTTTATGATATGACAACTTTAATGGCCACAAGGTTGTCGGGGCTACGTTGTAAATGTGATTCTGAACTCCAGGCAAAAAGGGAAATGTGTTGAAGCAGGTTACTGTTATTATCAGAAAGGAGTGTCCTCTTGGCCCTTTTTTTGGGAATATTGAGAACATCACACCATTACCTACCATTGACTGAGCACTCGCTATGTGCCAGGAACACGGGTAGTGCTTATGACAACCAAATTAAGGTTTTCCCTGATGGTTGAGGAAATTCAGATTCACAGACGTCATGACTTCTGGAAGCCTTCTCAGCTAGTAGGCATTAAAGCCTGAATTGCAACCCAAGTATATCTGGCTCCAGCTACTACCCCACATAGTTTTCCCAGCTATGACAGACATCTTCAAAAATGTTTTCATAGCAAAAAGACTAATTTTATGGCTGTTTGACCTTCAAGTAGAAATTTGTAGACACTGGGGTTTGCTTGGTGTCATATTCAAAGCAGACATGAATCAACCAACTGAGGCTTGAAACTTTGCCCCATCCCTCCCCCACCTCTACCTGTGTCTGTATCTCTAAAACAAAATGTGTACTGAGTCCACTGTGATAGGTGCCCTGTATTCATTTTTCTATTTAAAACTCCCAACAGTTGTGTGACTTAGAATCCTGGTTATCAGTAACAGTGATATGTGAACACTGACCATGTGAAAGAATTTAAATGAAGGGTGACATCTGATTATAAAGAATGTGCTGGATCTGAGAGAATTTAATGGTAAGAGGTGTGGCTGGGCTTCATCAGGGAGACTAGAAACAGAAGCCAGGGAGTCAAATTGTGGATAACTGGAGCTGCTTTTCTGGGCAGAGTTGTCTCTTGGCCTGGGGATGTAGCCTTTGGTCATGAATTTGGGAAAAGAACCAGGCAGTCTTAGCTCAGCCCTTCCCTCCCTTTTCTCCTCTGAAAGCCACTAGAAAGCCCCCAGTCTCCCTTCCTCTTCTATGTGGGGCAGCCTCTGGCTATTCAGGGCTGTCTACAAGAAGTCTATCGCGCTGTGGGATTCAGCGATACCGCACTAAGCCGTATATTTATCTGTGAAAAGCCGATGTATGGCCCTTCCTTTGTCCATCCATCAGTTGGCTCTGAAGTGAGGCAGAGAAAGGGGAGGCCACTAGTGAGTCCTCTCAGAATTCCACATGCAGACAAATAGAGGGCTACCCAGTCATGGGGTCACCCTACTTCCCAGACCAAGAATTAGTAGCACCTCTGGGTTCTAGGCCCACATGCCTTTAAGATTCTTTTTTTTTTAAAGACTTTATTTATTTATTCATGAGAGACACAGAAAGAGAGGCAGAGACACAGGCAGAGGGAGGAGAAGCAGGCTCCGTGCAAGGAGCCCAACGTGAGACTCGATCCTGGGAATCCAGGATCATACCCTGAGCCAAAGGCAGACGCTCAACTGCTGAGCCTTTAAGATTCTAACTAACCTCATCCTGGGTCCAATCAGCTCTGCCAGGCTCCCATGAGTCTCAAGATTCCTGTTAGAGGTAGGGGTTGCCCGGGAAATTGCATCTTAGGAGAGGACAGTCTCACAGCTAATATCAGAGCTGAGATCCTGACCCAGGTCCAACTGACCCTCGAGGCATGTTCTTAACCGAACGTAGGTAGTGAGACCCCAGAAGCTGGCCTTGAGCTGGGTGTTCTCTAGTTGGCATTAAAGAGAATACCTAGCATCAAAGAGAATACCTGGCATCATATGTAAAAATGACTTCAACAGTAATGCTGAGAGCAAAGCAGAGGTGAGGTTGTACCTTCCTCTTTTCAGATGCCTCCTTGTCCTCTCTCTGGACCAGCCTGGAAATCCTGGGCTGCACAGACTGAGGCAGGACTGTCTCCCGCAGGATGGCTCCACTGACAAGCTGTGTATCCTAAGTCACTTCACCTTAAGCTCTAGGGTCACCATTCATTTCTTCATCCATTTAACAAATCTACATATTAATATAGAATACATATGCATACTGCATGTTAATACCTAAGATATACGTGTATAGCATATGAAACCTCCTACTATAGATGACTATATAATATGTATGTTTATCATTGTGGCAATAAGTGTACTAGATATTTACCACATGTCAGGCTCCGTGCTAAGTAATCAAAAATACATTGAATCCTACTAGATGCTTCCTTTCTTAAGTAAGAAATGCAAAGTGAAACTAACTCTGCTGAGATAATATTTTTCTGCTCTCAGATTGCCAAAGGTCCAAATGTTCTGCAACACATATGGGTGAGGCCAAGGGGAAACATTTACACTGATACGTTGTGGGTGGGAATACAAAGTGGTAAAAGCCCCGTGCCAAAATTTGTTAAAATACAAACTCATATACTCTTTGTACCAATAATTGGTTTCTGAGAAATTATCCTTCAGATATTTTCACACTCATAAAAACTAACACATGCATATGATTGTTATCATTGCAACACTGTTTGTAATAGCGACAGATTAAAAATGACTTCAGTGGCCCTCAATGTGGCCTTGGATCAACCATTAAGTGAAACACTGAGCATCGGTGACAGAAAACATAGAAGCTCTCTAAGGTCTGACATGCAAAATTGCCCAGGCATGTTGGCAAGTGGGAAAAGCAAAGTGCAAGACAGGGTGTAAAGTGTACTAATGTAATGTTAGTCATAGTACAGTAATATGAATAATGTAACCATGTAGAATAATAGTAATTTCAGTATAGTAATACAAATAGGATTAGAAAGAGTTACACACTAATATGACCAAATCATAGTGATAGTAATAGTAATGCTAATAATTGGTATAGTGGATATGTTTGGGTATGTATGTAAAATCTTATATAGACATTTAAAAAAATCTCTAGAAAGACATTTCTTTTTTTAAGATTTTATTTATTTATTTGACAGAGAGTGAGAGAACACAAGCAGAGGGAGAGGGAGAAGCAGACTCCCCACTGAGCAGGGAGCTCAATGCGGGGCTCGATCCCAGGACCCCGAGATCATGACCTGAGTGGAAGGCAGACACTTAACCAGCTGAGCCACCCAGGCGCCCCTGGAAAGACTTTTATAAACAATATAAGGGGTCTGGGTTTAAAAAACAAACAGGTAGGAATCCAGGCAAATGGGGAAAGGAATGGAAATAAAACTTTTCACTGAAAATCTTCTGAGAATGTTTGAGACTCATGAATGTAAAACCCATTCAAAAATGGAAATAAATACACAATAGCTTAAAAATAACAGCAGTGCCATGAATGTGAAGCAGGAGGCCAGGGCACTAGTGGAGCAGGTGACAGGGTACTGTAGCATGCAGCTGGCAGAGGAAGTCCCTGAGGAAGTCACTTTTAAATAGAAACTTGACAGAGAAATAGGCAAAGGGGCAAAAGAGGGCTGCCCAGGAAAAGGGACCCCGTGTGCAAAAGCCCTGAGGAGGGAAGGGGCTTTATCTGCAAGGAATGGAAGGGTATCCCGCACAGCTGCACAGCAGACATGAGGGGTAGGGGGACCGGGAGCTAAATACAAAGCAAGGAGCCAAAGTATGCAAGCTATGTTTAAAAAAAAATTGGACTTTATCCGAAGGGCAGTAGGAAGCCATTGAAAGAGTTTAAGCAGGAAAGTGATGGGATCAAGGTTATATTTGGAATAGATTGCTCTGGAGCCTCTGAGGAGAAATGACTGGGGGAAGCAAGAGTGGATGTTGACAACCCATATATCTGAGAAACCGCTCTGGAGCACTATCTGGTGGTTTCTTACAAAGTTAAACATACACCTACCCTATGACCTGGCAATTTCATTCTTAGGTATTTATCCAAGTTAAATGAAAACATATGTTCACAAAAGTATTTGCACAAGAATTTTTATAGCAGCTGTATTTGTAAGAGCAAAAATTACCCCTCCAAATCCTACAAATCTCTATCAAAAGATGAATTTGTAAGCAAACTGTGGTGTATTTATACACTGGTGTACTACTTAGCAATATGAAGGAAGGGACTCCTGATACACACAACGTGAATGATACTTAAATCTGTGAAAGAAAAGAAAAAGACACAGAAATGCATATACTGTATGAAATCTATTGACATGAAATGAAATCTGGGTACAGAAAAAAATAATCTATAGTGATAGAAATCAGAAAGTAGTGCCTGGAGGGAGAAAAAAACTGGAAAAATGAGGGAATGTTCTGGGGCAATGGAAATGTTTTATATCTTGTTGTACATGGCAGTTACACAGTGTGTGCAACTGTCAAAACTCATCAAAGTGAAGAGCTGAGATTTATGCTTTTCATGTCAAGCATATCTCAGTAATAAAGAAGAAGAAGGAGGAGGAGGAGGAGAAAAAGGAGAGAGAATGAAAGGGAAAGAAAGAAAGAAAGAAAGAAGAAAGAAAGAAAGAAAGAAAGAAAGAAAGAAAGAAAGAAAGAAAGAAAAAGAAGAAAGAAAGAAAGAAAAGTGCTCATTGAGAAAGGTAGGAGGTGTTTATAATAATCTAGGAGAAAGTCATGGTTCCCTGATGCCCTGGCATGGGGATCTAGTAAAATAATGTGTAGAAGAAGCAAACTATGAAGGTCCATGCAAACGGTAAAGCTCTATACATACTGTGAAGCCCTATTCAAAGTGAGGAATTAGTCAAACTTAACCCTTATCAAATTCTGGAGGTGAACATGGGACATCTGATTGCCAGAGGCAGTCCTGTTTATTTGCAATGAAGGACTTGGGGCTGTTAATCATGATCTTCTTGCTGATCTGACACCATTTGGCAGGAAAGGGATCCAGGGGCTGCTGAGATTCATCAGAATCCTTAATCCTGATGGAAAAATAAAGCAGTGGTGGCGCCTGGCTGGCTCAGGCAGGGGCTCATGCAACTCTTGATCTCAGGGCTGTAAGGTTCGAGCCCCACATTGGGTGGAGAGGTTACTTGAAAATAAAATCTTCAAAAAAATTTTAAAAATAATAAAGCAGTGTGGGGGTGGGGGGGTGCAAAGCTGCCTTTGCCAAGGATAATTTTCTACTAAAAACAACAACAAAAAAATGTATTTAGCTCCTGGGCTTGAGTCTTGAATTTACTTTTTTGAATAATTAGGGTTTGAAGGATACAGAGAAAAGGAAGCAGGCTGTCAGTTCCTGAGGCAGGGACCATAACGATCAGTGACACGGCCACCCAGCATTCAAGAGAGTTCGCTGGGAGCTGAGAGTATGTGGGAAACACACGTGGGCTGCTTGAAGCATCTGCCTCTGAGTGTAGACAGGTTTAGGGAAACAGCTGTGGGGAAAACCAGTCAAAAGCCAACCAAATAGCTGGCTACTATTTAACTGAATGCAACTTTTTTTACGTGCTTTTTTTGAATGTTAATAAATCCCTAGTTATTTGCTTGCATTTCTTGTTGATTTCTCTCCCCAAAACCACTTTGAATGAGCAGACACAGCTGGATCCTTGCTATCCACACCAGAGGATGCTAAACACCCCTTGGGCCCTTTGTCTGTGAAAAGGAGATGTCCCTGCACAAGTCAGGGCGGGCCTTAGATTAGATTCCATGACCTCCAGAAGAGGACTGAAGATCCTCTTCAGAGTTGCAGCAGACATTTGTCATATTTTTATTATCTAGTATGTGTCACCTGATCCTCCTCTCTAAGGATTGATTTTTGTTGTAGTTTCTCCTGGTGTGAGGTAGAACCCATCTTCCACATTGAAAGTAGACAGGATCTCTCTCTCTCTCTCTCTCTCTCTCTCTCTTTCTCTACCCCCCTCCTTACTCCTCTCTCTCACCCACACCCACGCACACTCACACATACACACACACCCTTGGCCTTGGCAAAGTCTGATGATAGGCAACTGACTTGGGCTTACCCCACCCAGTGGTCTTCCCTTGAACTGGGAGCCTCAGGAGAGCAATATAAGAATATGGATATAGTTGGTGGTTATCCATGGAGACAGCTGGAAGTCATTTGTTCAAAAGTAGCAAAAGTCATTTGTTCAAATTTGGCATGCTGACCAAATACTCCTGCCAAGACACCATTACTGTGACTCCCTTGGCCTTGCCCTCTGACTTGCCACTTCTGGATTGGAAAACAGAGTCCTGGGACTTAAAATGACGTGTCCATATTCACACAAAAAATTATCAACCAAGCCAAAACTCGAACCTATGTTTTTCACTGTACCCCCCACTGCTTCCTGCCTAGCACAAGAATCTTCCTTAATTGTGCTCGTTTTGGCAGCACATATACTAAAATTGGAACGATACAGAGAAGATTAGCATGGCTCCTGCTTAAGGATGACACGCAAATTCGTGAAGCATTCCATATTTTTGGAGGAAAAAATAAAACAAGACGAAATCAGAAAGGAAGGCAAACTGAAAGAGACTCTTAATTATAGCAAACAAACTGAGGATCACTGGAGGGGAGGAGGGTTGGGGGATGGGGTAACTGGGTGATGGGCATTGAGGAGGGCGCATGATGGGATGAGCTGTTATATAAGACAGATGAATCACTGACCTCTATCTCTGAAACCAATAATACATCATATGTCAAGTCATTGAATTTAGTTTTTTTTTTGAATTTAGTTTTTTTTTAAAAAAAGAATCTCCCTTAATTTCTACCCATTTCTATCCTCCAATACCCCTTCAATAAATACCCCTCTTTGTAAGTTACCTGAAACAATGGTTTTCATTGCTGACATGCCAGACAAACACAATCATAGAATAGTGGTTTCATTTTCCATTTCATGCCTTCATAGAAATGTTCTCAAGCGGTTTCTTGGACACTGAGATCCAAGGTTTTTCTTTGGGGGCAGCTGAATACGTGGAAGTGGGGATGCGGAGAGAAGAGTGAAGAAGAGGATGGGAGAATGAAAAGATCTGCATGTTTTCCATCCAGTCCATTCTAGGGCTGAGGGTACAGAGAGGGGCCGCAGGGGCAGAGCCTCTAACAGATGCCAGGAGCTGGGCTCGGCAGTTGCCCTTGTGGCCACAGCACCGGGAGGAGGGTGTTCCGCATCCCAAGTGGAAAGAGTGAGGCTGGGTGAGGCCGAGAACCTTGCCCGTGGTTGTCGGGCAAGGGGCACAAGGGAGCAGAACCAGCCTCTGGACCAGACCAGGCTAAGCAGCCCTGCCCTTTCCACTTGAATCCGCGGGTTGACCACGGTGGCTAACCCGTGTGCCTTTTTCTTCTTATGGCATGACTTCCAAGTTGTATCCATGATTTGGAATGAGTGCATAATGACGTGTCGAGATCGTGGGACTCTGTATGTACATGCATGCATGCATGTATGTATTTAAAAAACACAAGGAAGACAACTTTGCTGAGCCCTCGAGAAGCAGGGCTGGAGGCGCTTGAAGCCTGTTTTGATTTAAGAGGAATGGATCCGGCTTGAGTGTAAATGCGAGACTGTGTTTGCTTGTCTCACACTCTGTTTTCTCAAATTACTTTCATATGTTCTCTTGCATTGGTTTCCCCCACTTCGGGATGAGAAAACTGAGACCAGGGCTTGAAGGAACGGGTCTGTGTTCACACAACAAATTAGCGTCCGAGTGAAAACTCAAACCCAGACCCTTCCACTGCACCCCACACGCCCCTCCTGCCTGCACAAGCATCATTGGTGCATCAGTCCGGCTTAACAAATGGACTCGCATGGATGCATGCTGATGACTTGATCTAGCCTCCTGGGATTCTGCAGGTGAATATTTGTCCCACATCACCCGCTGTCCAAGTATTTGCAGTCTCTGTCTTTTGCTATCTCTTCACCTTTTCCCTGATTTTCTACCTCTCCTCCCTCCTCCTTTTCTCTGTATCTCCTCTCCTTTCCTCCCTTCCTCTCCTCCCACAGACACACTTGTTTTTCCTACATCGAGATGGTCTCATGTTGACGGGATGGGTGAAGCGTGAGTGTCTTTTAAGTCCCTGGAAGCAGAATATTTTCTTATGGATTTTTATTGTTTAGATTGTTTTGCCAGGCTAATGAAAAAGGGCTTGAAGGTCCCCTTATCTCAGGCCAACCAGTGGATGCCTTCAAGCTTTTGTTTTTGTTTCCAAGCTGGTTCCTTACAAATGCATCCAGAAGGTCACTCTCAGGTCCCCAAGATAGCAGCAGGTAATCAATCACTTTCAGGGCATCAGCCTCACTGAAGGGAACTCATGAATGGGAGCGCTTGTGGAAGGGGACAGGGAGCTTGAGCGACCCGAGAATCTCCAGCTCAGTAAAGGTGATCTATCTGATGGATTGCTTTCTCCAGAAGTTCTCTGGGATAGACTCCAGTATATTCTAGCTCAGGGGCTAGATTTTTGACTCCCCTCTGATTTTTGACTCCAAATAAATAAATACATACTTACGCAAAAGGCTTGGACATTTACCAGGTAATCTGATAACTGCAACGCAGCAAGCAATAAAGACTGTGTCTAATGGCTCTAAGGGCTGCATCCACACGGGGCCCCCGGCAATCTCTCCAAAACAAACAAAGGGGGCTCCAGTTCTAGCTTTGCCAAGGACAAGCTTTGTGAGCTTAGGCAACTCACCTCACATCTCTGGGCCTCACTTCCTTGACTATAAAATGACATAATGAATGAGTCTATTCTTCCCACAAATACTTATTAAACATCTACTTTGTGGCAGGCCTTGTGCAAGGAACTGAAAATCTTTTTTAAAGGCTAGACAGACCCCTGAGGTCTCAAGGGGCCTCAAAGTTTAATGGGGGAAAATATGCATAACAAAGGAAACTAATAATAATACAATATTTTTAAGCATTCTACTGGTACTCTGTGCAAAGTGCAATGGAAGGACAGAGGTGGAAACAGGTTGACCGAGCTTTAAAGTCTGTGTGTGTGGCTTTCTTATTTGTTTTGTTTCGATCTGCCTTTCCCACTAATGTATCTTATTCTTTCTTGACTTGGTTATTTTCAAATATAGTCGTTAGTATATAAACTGTCACCAATGATTACATTACATAGTGTTTAATTGCTCCAATAGTTGTAAAAGTTAGATATTATGATCACCATTTTGGATATTTTATTTTTTAAAAAATTTTTTTGTTTTATTTATTTATGATAGGCACACAGTGAGAGAGAGAGAGGCAGAGACAACACAGGCAGAGGGAGAAGCAGGCTCCATACACCGGGAGCCCGATGTGGAATTCGATCCCGGGTCTCCAGGATCACGCCCCGGGCCAAAGGCAGGCGCTAAACCGCTGCGCCACCCAGGGATCCCCATTTTGGATATTTTAGATATAAGAACACTGAAGCTCAGAGAGGTGAAGTAACCTGCTCAAGCTCACACAGCTGGGAAGTTACAGAACTAGGATTTGAATCCCTTGTCAACTTCAAGGCTGTGTTCTTTCCACTCAGGGCTACTGCTTCAGGTGTATAACAACTCAGGACCAGCAGCACAATTTGTAGAAACAGTGCCAAGCAAAAATATGGGGTCTTTTGTTCATAAACTATTAAGAATTTCAAGGCAGAGGATGCCCGGATGGCTCAGAGGTTGAGCGTCTGCCTTTGACTCAGGGCGTGATTCCCCCAGGGAGCCTGCTTCTCCCTCTTCCTATGTCTCTCATAAATAAATTAATTAATTAAAAAAAAAAGGAGTTCACGATAGTACAGTAGAGCATGGAAGAAAGCAGAAGGCCTCTCTAAGGATGGGACCCTGAACACGTGTCCAGGTCACACACCCACGACGTTTGCCCCACTGGCTACGATTTACTTTGCAGATGGCATCTCCCAGCAAGGAGCAAAAACATGCTAGTAATTGGCAGGCTCAGAGCACAGTGGCAGAATTTTTCAGTAGTCATGCTTCATGTACACTTTTTGATGTCACCCAGAGGGCTCAACATGGATCGCTTCAGCAGAAGTTGCAGGCTATGTGCAGTAGCTCTCCCTGAGAAGGAAAACTTTTTGTGTGGGGAAAGATAGATGGTCTTGGGCTGATGGGGTCTGGCCACACCCTCACCTCCCATTTAGAATTTCAGGGGCTCATTAAGGCAGCACAAATGGGACACAGCCAAAGCCTCTTATAAACCTCTCTTGTCATACTGTAGAGGGGACCTGTGGGTGTGTTCTGATGAAGGGCAGTGGGGAAAAAGCAACAAGATTTTGCATATGCGGTTTATAAGCCTCTCCCCTGAAGCACTCAAGAAGACGTCAGCGCCTACGGACCCTGTAGAGATTGAGATTGCCCTTTTGGTCAGCAATCCTGAATCAGTGGTATTTAAGGTTCTGAAACCATAGAACCAACAATGAAAATAGGAACCATCTCCCCGGAAAAAGGACACATGTACATAAAGAATTTTGCATACAATTACAGACTCTCTGCATTGACCCCAGATTTTTTAAAACCCCAATTTAGATCAGAGCTTCCCCAATTATAGAGCCTACATTAGACCTAGGCAGAAATGTAGAGAATATTTTTAGGAAACCATCTTATTCCTCAGAGGTGGTGAAGGCCAAGGTCATTTGGGATAATAAAAGACTCTGGAGGTTTTCAAAGACTCCCTCCTCTGATTGTTAACTCCCCCTTGAAATAGTCCCCTGGCTCCCAGTGTGCTCCGTTCAAAACACTGTAGCCAAGTGGCACAGTCTAACACTACAAATGGCTGATGTCACGATGTCGGTGAACACTTGGGGAGCACCTGACAAGCCAAGGTGTTGGGTATAAGAGCAGTTCGTGTCCTTGAGAAGCTCACTGACATCTGGGGGAGAGATGCACCTAAACAACAGAATATAATAGAACGTGTGTAATTGCAGACGTCTGGAGCTAGGTTGAGTGCTCACTTCGGCAGCACATATACTAAAATTGGAGCTAGGTTGAGAGGTGACATACAGAAGGACACTATTGGCTCTGCTTGCTTGGATCATACCAGGCTCCCAAGAAAGTAAACTCCTACAACACAGTCTTGAAGAAGGGGCACTGGGTCTTCTTGTTGAGGGGACCAGCACATGGGAAGGCAGAGAAGGGGGCACCTGGGTGGGTCAGTGGTTGAGCATCTGCTTTTGGCTCAGGTCTTGATCCCAGGGTCCAGGGATGGAGTCCCACATTGGGCTCCCCACAGGGAGCCTCCTTCTCCCTCTGGCTGTGTCTCTCATGAATAAATAAACAAAATCTTAAAAAAAAAAAAAAAAAAAAAAAAAGGAAGCCAGAGAAGGATGAAGCAGCCTGAGGTACATGGGGAGTTAGAAGTGGGTGGGATTGGTTAGAACATAGGCTACGTCTAAGAAAGAGGTGGGAGTTGATGGTGCAAGGGGCCAGAATCTGCGGCCTTGAACCTATGGAAGTGTCAGCCTGGGTGACGGATGAAGGAGTCTCTTCTTGGGGACACTAAAAGG